AAAACATACTGTACTTCTGTATTTATAACAGTTATATAACTTTTATTCAACAGATCTATAAACAAACGGTGGGTATTCCAATGGGTACTAATTTATGGCCAATTTGTATCTGTTCTTCTATGAATATTCATTTTTGAAAAACAGTTTAGATCTTAATTCATTTAACTTAATTTAACTACATATTCTGATATATTGATGATTTAATTTTAATAAATAATTTAAACTTCACCCCATATATATACTAAGGAATTGACTATAGAAAATAGCCATAGTAATAATTCTAGCTCTTAATTATTTAGAGTTAAACATTTATTTTGTAGAAGGCAGAGTTCAGTTGACCATTTCTGATAAAAGAAGGAAATTTAATTTTCCCATCCTTGGTTTATCTACTCCCCATAGTGTTATTCCTAATGTTTCGTTAAAAGGGATTATTATATCAAAATTGAAAAGATTTTTAACAGTATGCAATAGTAATATTTGTTTATGGATAATGTTTCCTTATTCATAAATAAACTACGTAATAATGGATATAAAGATACACAACTAAAAAAACGTTTTTCCATTTATTATAATAAATATAAATCTATTTTAAATAATAAACTTTCAATTATTGAAAACTCCTTACTGAGAGGTCATTAGCTACTCAAAGTCACCCTTGATAAACTTGATATATATACATACACACACACACACAAAATGTTTAGTTAAGAGTTATTATTTAGTTCATTTAGTGATCTAATATTTAATGATTATTTCATTACGTAACTTGGTAAGAGTAGTATATTGTGTGTTCAACTGTTGTAATTTGACATCACATTACTCGTACCTTCTGAATTTTTCTTGTTGCCTTAAGTGAGTATTCTTACATCATAGCATCTCATAGTTTGTAGAAAGTTCTAGGCCTCAGTTGTACAATGTATATATATAGATGACCAAGTGAGTGCAAGTGAAGTTAAGTCAGAAAAACTTAAGTTTGTGAAAGTGAAAGAAAAAATGAAGTTAGCTGGTGTGTGAGTTTAGCTGTAACAGGTGATTTCTAAAGTCAGAGTTTCACAGTTTGTATTGTAACAATAGAGATAGAGAAGAATAATTCTTGTCAACTGGGTTCTAAAGTAACTGAAACAACCTATGTGGATTTTTGACGAAAAAGAGAATTATTTAAAGCTCAAGATTTAACTATGGTAATCAATAGTGTAATGAATTTGCCTTGTTTTGAATATATTATTTTAAAATAAGTGGATTGTGTGCTGTCTGTTTATTGTTCGAATTTATTGCCAACAAGTTACAGACACTACTGTAAAGAATTTGGCCCCATAAACCCTGACAAGTATTAAAGATATCCAAAAAGAAATGGAAAGAATTTTACATAAAACTCTTAAAAGCTAAGTTTGAAAATAAACAAATCATATTATCATGAAGACAATCCCAAAGTTTATATGCTATTTTAAATCAGAGAAATATTATAAAGAAATCTGATGAGGATATTTTTCCATGCAATAAACCAAACTGTTATATTTGTGGGAAAGGTTATATTACATACTTTATATATATTACAGGCCTTACTGGGGAGAAAATACTTTTTTTTTAAATGTTAGATTTAGTTGCAATTGACATAATGTTATTTATGTATTATTTTGTATTTGTTGTAAGCAAATATATGCTGGAAAATTTACAAAAAATAACAGAAAATTTACATATAAAAAGTTTTATGATAAACAAATGCAGAAAGTTTTACATTTTTAAGTAGGTCTTGTTAGAGAGAGCCTTATTTTAGAAACTGAAGAGTATTTGGGAAGTTGCAAAACCAGTATTTTTGCTTTTATATATGTGTAGTTTTATCTAATTCTTTTAAATTAACAATAATAAAGAGTTTTTAAGATATTTTTAAACATGTTTTTATACTGTTTCATTTACATATATATACTAATACAGTGGTAAAAACATAATCTTTATTTATATACATTACACTTACTTGCTCATCAATATCTGAAAGATGCAATTTTTCTTCCTCAATTTCTTTTTTATAATTATCTTGTTTTTCCAACAATTTTTTTAACTCCTCTGTGTACTTTTTATCTTTAGCTACATTCTTGGTTGACTGAGCTAACTGAAGCTTAAGCTCTACCTCTGCTTTTTCTTTTTCCAGATCCTTTATAATTTTCCTACAGGAACAGAACTAAGTTTGAGAAACTTTTTCTTCATCTGTAGATATTTCAATATGTATCTAGTGCAGGACTTTATCAACCTAGCTTTAAGAGATGTTACTTGACAATTTAGACATGATGTTAATTATGATGATCAAACAGAAATATGAAATCTTTATACCATTTTTGTAGTAAATATTGCTGCTGAATAACTGTACTCTCTATCATTACTCACACATTTGGTTCATTGTATAATTTCAATGACTATTATTCAATAAACATCTTGTGATCTTAATGAAGAAAAATAGCCAGTATCAAGTGAAAATTATTTATTTTTTCAACATTTCACTTTATCAGGAATTACCAGTATTAACAAAACAAGCAACTTAATTTTACTGGTTCTTCTGATTTGTTAAGCGATAATACTCATTAACCTACTATCAAATATAAATAATATAAATTATAAGGAATAAAACTAGATGTAAAAAATGTAGTACCTTGTAGTATAGTACATGTAATTCCAATAATGTAAATTTATACGTTAATTGACCATATTATGTAAAGAAAGTTAAATTTAAAGCTTTTAAGTCGATGTTAAAATATCAAACAAGATTGTTTTGGTTCATACTTACAAGTATTGTGCTATAACACATCTAAGTGATGAGTTTCCTAAACCTATTCTTTAGCTGTCTTCCTTATGAAAATTTTCTATGTTGGTCAATGGGATAACATTAACATTTTCTTAAACTGAAAATGTATTTCCGATAGATACTTACCTCCTCTCACAAAAAGCTTTCTTAACTTATACTGCCATCTATTGGCACAAATGTTTGCTTGCCACTAGCCTTGACACTCCAACTTACCCTCACATATGTTAACATGAAATATCTGCATAGTGACATGCAAACGCTTATGCAGCAACCCTCTACCAACAGGAGTGCGACATTACCCCTATTGTAACTAGTGTCTTATCTAATCTTGCAACTGTTAACTTCAAGGGGACAAAAAACAGACAGGAATATGAACCCCAAAACAGGGATCTCCCCAGATGATGGAATCCTTGTAAAAGGACCAGACCAAATGCAATAACCTCATCCTCCAAGGATCTGTGATAAGTTATCTACAAACTTGGGCAAAGCAGTTGAAAAAATTGTTGTACCATGTCTGATGGAGTAAGAATGTGTATATATTGTAGAGCAAAGCCACAGTGGTTCAATTGTTACTTCCACCATATGAAATCGAACCCCAAATCCTAGTGTCAGAAGTCCATTTACATAACATTGTCCCACTGAGGTAACATGAGCCTGACCCCACCAGGCCTGAACCCTCCAAAGTCACTAAGACCACTGGCTGCCCCAAAAACAGCACCCCAAGAACTAATGGTGAACTACAAACATTCAGGAGGCCAGAACCAACTATGGGCGGAAAAGAGAAAAGGGGGTGTGGGATAGAAGGAAGGCCAAGTGAAGTTAAACAACAGGGCTGACCTAACCCTGGGCTCCCGAGATTCAATAATAACCCCCAAAAAACTCACTTGGTTCCATAAAGAAATGACATAATCAAAAACTGAATTAAGGGGTTCAATCTCCACCAAAAGACATGTTACATCACACTCTACAAGCCTTAGGAGAGAAGACGGAACAATGACATGCCTGAACATGGTCTTCCAAAGTTCATGGAGGTTGAGGTATACGTACCCCTGAAGTTAACTGGTCCACAAAACTATATTCAGTACCTCCAATAACCTGAAGGGTTCAGGGAACATTAAAATTGACTCCAAGGCTCATCACAGAGAAGGGCAGGACTGGAATGAAAAGAAATGGGAAGTAATGATGCAAAAATATCCTACTTAATTTAGTAGGTCTACCAAAAGGAAAGGAGGAGGAACAAGGCAGCTCAAATCCTCATCATCATATACAAGCAAAGCAGTACAAGGTATAAGAGGACAATCATCATGTGCTCAGATGCCCACAAACATTTAGCAAACTCCCAACAAACCAGCCAATAATGTGCTCAGATGCCATTGAAGTGGCAGGCAAATCAGCTGTAGTAGATACAGCCACTGAAATAGAAGCCACGTGGAATTGCACATATATAATAAGTGGAGCTGACAGGAAAAAAAAAGTAGAAGTGTAACTCCAAATAAAGAATTCTCAAACCTGTAAAAATTCGAAAAATTTACAGGTGAGGGGAAAAATGGTACACAGCCATAAAATGAAACAATAAACTTTGGCAATTAAACAAAAAATTTGTCTGAAAACACGTCTGAACTGTGAGACAATTAATCAAGAAGTGGTTGACAGCTGCAAGATTAGAGAGGGCAGTAGTTACAATAGGGGTACTGTTTCACTCCTATTGGTGGAGAATTGCTGCATAATCATTTGCATGTCAGTATGCAGATATCTCACATTCATATTCCTTTAAGACTAGTGGTGAGTGAAAATTTCTGCCAATTTAGGGCAGTATAAGTCCAGAAAGCGTTCTGTGAGAAGAGGTAGGGTACTGTATTAGATTTTTTTTTAGCTATAGAGATATAGTTACAATGACATATCTAAGGAATATCCATAGATGTCTTCCCAATATTTCTTTGAACTATTTAACAGTGTTTATGTAAATGAATGTTTATTTATAACATACATAATGCAAAGCAAAGGTAATATCTCATCTATTTTTTGGTAGCTGTGAAGGACAGCTTACTTTACAATACACTTGTATATGAATCCTATGAACTTAAAAACACTGTTTGAATGCCACTTAGCAAAAAAACATGAACTTTATAAGCGCATAATCCCGGTGCTAAATACAATATGTATTGTGTGAAAAAATGGAAAGTTATTATTATTCAATATTATAGTTTTATTTCATCAATAATGGGCTAACATTCTTCCTTTCATAACGAATTTACTTTTTGATAGTCTTAGACTTATCAACATAATTCTACCAACACTGATTCACAAGAACATTGCACACTTCTTAAATAATTCGTGGCTTGAAATACTTAATTTCCAATTCATCAACCATTAGTTTTGAATGTAGAGGTAAACTTAGTTCAATATTTACTAAAAAAAAGTAATTCAAATATTAATTTAACTCTATCAATATGAAGCATTTTAAATAAAATAAAATAAAGATTTGTCCATGAATATATTGAATATTTGTTTTGAATAGTTTGTATGCAAAGTAATTTTCATGATAAAATTAAATATACTTTTCCTCATCTCAAAAATCTCAAATTTCCTTTGTGTAATCAATAAAACCTCCTAAATGCATTTTAAACTTTTTTCAATAAAACTTTATAGTTTATCTGTTATTTTCTCTACCCAATCTCAAAACGGGATTGGTCGATTTGACTGACCTTGTAACCACCAAAAAAAATCGAAATAAACCTAAATTAACCCTTTTTTCTTTCTAGAATGACTTCAAATTATAACATGAAACTACATTCGTTTATCCTAAGTAGCTCTAAGTTCATAACGTTATACATCTATTTATAATTAAATTTTATTGTTTTATTGCCCTTTGAACCATGTGTAACTACTATCCGCACCATTATAAGTTGTAAATCACTTGAGGAACATGCAGCTCACATTACACTATTGAATTACATTACCCAAAAGCTGCTCACATGCGTGCCTCATGAACCATTTTAATTATATTATTATTATTACTTATTTTACCTAATCTAGTCTTAAATAACTTAAAAAGATCTATATTTTTAGATTTTAGTTACTTTTATAATAATAAATAAAAAATAAATATGAAAAACAAGAAATATAGTACTTACCAAATCTTTTCTTTTTCATGCCTTCAACTGTCGAGGACATTTAAGCCTGATTTTTTATAGTAATTATAGTAATGCATTTAATAATTTTTATTTAATTAAATAATGTACCAAAGAATATAAACTAATAACATGGAAAAAAGTAGACAAATTCCCTTACCTATCAAAATTTTTCTGGCTTTCTAGCTATGCAATAAGAGCCATTGCAAATTCATTCAAGCTAGTCATTAACTTTCCCATGGGAATGAATATTGTACTGTGAGTAAAATTGACCATATTCTGTTCAGAATACAATGTATACAATACGTCATTTGATAGATGAAAACCTTGACTATCTATTGTTTATAGGTAATATATAATTAAACATAAGAGATAACTATCAACGAATTGGGAAAGAGAGGATGTGAAAGGTGGGTGTAGCAGGAGGGGTCTTAGTTTCTATTCAATAGCTCTCAAACCAAACAAAATTGAAGACTATAAAAATTATAGTTTGTCTGAGCAATAATAATTTTATAGAGAGTAATTTACATTTAATCTCATACTTTTTTCAAGGGGTGGTGAATAAAATAGGGATGATGACATGCTAAGAGAAAATGTGTCACGTGGGTCACACTAGTGGAAATTTGGGATTTTTTTAAATATTGCCTTGTAGAATTAAGAACTTAAAGCCCCGAGTCATGGAACCTCAGCTGCATGGTTGGGGCTGGCCCATCATACTTACTTGTGTGATATTCCACCCTTTTCACACTTCTGTAGTTTTGGATGTAGAGCATACCTGTTCTGGATGTAGTGCAGTTTTCCCTGCTTGGGTACCACTTCTCATGGTACACCTATGTTCTATGCAGATATTTTCTGTGTGAACTATGCCCTCACCAGCCCCTCCACCTTCTCAATGTAGGATTCTAGCTTTAAGAGTCAATGGAGGTATGTATGTTTTGGAAGTTATCATTTTCATAATCTGAAAATGTATTTTGCAACATATTTTCTCTCTTCCTCCCCATTAAGAGCCAGTGTTAATGACTGTGATGGGGGTAAGTTTCAGAAAAGTGATTATACTGTTAATGACTGTGATGGGGCAAGTTTCAGAAAAGTGATTATATTGTTGACATACAGTGCTTATATACAGTACTTGCAAAGAGGGCATATGAGGACCAGTGTAAAGTTTTGCAAATTAGATACTGCCAAGGGCAGTTGAGTGGGGTATAAAAGTGGAGCAAGCAAACATGATGTTTAGATA